TTTGCCTGCGCTGCCATGGGCGGTAAAGGCAAAGGCAAGGGCAGCTGGTACAAAGGCAAAGGCTACCACAGAGCAGGCCCTTACTCGTACCAGCACGGCCATGACCTTGGCGCTACAGTCGGATGGACCTTCCAAAATGCGGTCCAAGGGGCCCTGCAGCAAGTGATGAGCCAAGGCATCCAGGGAGTGCTTGACCGTGCCCTCCAGACCGGCGGTTCATCGCCTGCAGCGGCGCCGCAACCTGCTACCTTGCCTGCGAAAGCCGGAGGGAGCCTTGCCTCCTCCATCTTGCAGGCTATCACCGGGAAGCAGGCTCCAGTGGAGCAACCGCCAGCTGTTACTGTCGAAGCTACCCATCCGCAAGGGACAGGTGCAGCCAGTAGTGGCGACAAGGATGCACTCATGCTCAAAATGATGGATATGCTCACACAGCAACAGAAGCAGCACTCCGACCAGATGAAACTCTTGGTGGAAAAAGTCACGCATGAAAATTGGGCGCATGAGCAGGAAGACGTTCCGGAGCCAGTAGCCGGGCATCTTGAGGAGGCTGCCGCCTTGGAAGCAGCCATTGCTGAGAGCCAGGCTCGCTTGCAGGAGATTCAAGGCAGAACCAAGCCTGCCACCACCGCCTCAGCAAAGGCCAGTCCAAAGGCGGCGTGCTCGGCCGCTAGCAAGCAGACGCTGCTGCATGATGCTTTCTTGAGAAGCAGTGGCACGGGACGTAACTGACTATCTTGTGTGATGACCGGTGGCATGGGCAGTCCCATCTTAGATGCAGTTAGCATTTGGATGCTGTCACTGTTCCTGGTTTCTGTAAGAGCAGCGGTGTTGCTGTCACTCCTTCGCTTTGTGTGGAGCGAGACTTGCCAGCATGCACTTGACTCCGTGCTGCACTGGGTTTTGGGCGCTGCGTTCAAGGTATGCCTTGAAAACATGCAAAGCTGGATCATGCCACGCGAGAGCTTTGATGCTACTGGCATGCTCAGTCTGCTACGGCAAAACCACAGCAGCGCGGATGACGCCACTAAAGAAACCACCGGTGGCAGTAGCTGGGCGGCCCACCTCTCACATGAGTCAGTCCTCTCAAGCCCTTTGTTCACAGGAGTGCTGTGCGTGATGTTTCGCACAGTCGCTCCCAAATTAGCACGCATCATTGTTAGATGAAAGCTGTTGACCACCCTATGTTATTGCATGGGAGGGCTTACAGCACCAATCTCGTTGCACATGTCAGGAGATGCTGGTTTACCAGCAGAGCAGCAAACGCATGCACGGCCTGTAGCTCTATGCTGCAGCCTTGTCGGCACAGGAGTTTCGCAGCTCTCGGCAGGTTTAGGCTAGCGCTCAAACGGATTCGCAGGCATCCGTGCACAATATTGGGTCTGCCGATAAGGCACAGTGCGAGACATCCCCTGCAGAAGCTGCCAAGAGATATCTCGAAGCAAGAACCTTTGACGTTTCCACCAGTCGGAAAAAGTCAGACTTTGCGATTCTGGGAGATTGCAATCAGATTGGGAGCCTGTGTCCCAAATTCTTGCTGACATTCAACTCATTCTTGACATCTCTTTTTCTGTTGCGGCCTCAGCCTACAGTGTTGCTTGTGAGAAGGGTTTAGGGTTTAGGGTCTATAATACCTCATAAGGACTGCTAGTATAGGGCGGAACAGCCCAAGCTCTTAGGGTTTTAGAGGTAAGGGTGGGCACGGGTCCTCCAGTCACCAGGGGCGTGCTCCACAACCTTCCACGAACAAAGGCTAGAGCACCTCCCCTTACGCATCCTAAACCCTAAGCCCTAAACTCTAAACCGGACACCCTCAGCCCCCAAAACTCGAACTCTAAGATCCTTAATCCACATGGAAGCCTCAACGTCCAGAAGACCCGCCAAAACACAGCCCCAAACCGCCTGGACCTTCGACAATGAACTCATTGGTACCATATTTTGCGTAAACACGCGATAAACAATAGATACAGATGTACGTATTGTCAGCTTTAACAGGTATCAAATTAAAACAAGGGCTGCTGATTTTGCGAAAATGAAAGGTGATATCAGTTCCGCCAAGCTATCCACCCTCCCCCCTTCCCCTAATCGCAAAACCCTAAACCACCCTAAACCCTAAACCGTCCCCGTCCCCTCCATACCCCCTCACCTTCCCCCTTGCCCCCCACTCCTCCACGCCCGCCTGCGGGGACGCCGCAAACATCGCGTCGAAACCGCGGCCTCGTGCCAGGACCTGGAAGGGTGCATAGTCCGGCGGTCACTTCACTTTGCAAGCGCAGGGATTCTTTTACAAGGAATACCTTTCATCAAAGGCATCCAAGTATAGTCGTTGTGAACGAAGACTAGGATTGCATCTTACAAGGCTGCAGTTGGTCCTCAAGGCCCACGAGGGGCTGCAGTTCTAGGGGGGTTTGGGGTTTAGGGTTTAGGGTTTAGGGTGTAAGGTTTAGGGTTTAAAGGATAGCAGAGCTTCAAATTCTTTAAGCCGAAGCCCGTAAGCTCGAAACCCTACAGCTCAAGCCGCATGCACAGTGTGGAGTGTTTGGGTTGTACCTTAAGAACTTATAAAACCCCTTAAAGGATTCTTGGGTAACCTTAAGAACTTATAAAACCCTTATTTATAGGATTCCTGGGTAGCCTACAACAAAGTAGGTTTTGGGCTCTTAAGGTCGGGTGCAGGACCGTTTCAGGGCTTTATGGAGTCTTTGGGGTTAGGGTTTGTATGGCTTGTGGGCGATAGAGGGTATAAGGCTCATAGGGCCTACTTGGAGGTTCATGGTACTTAGCAACCAATTCTAACTGTACTTACAACCCACTTATGAGCCCCTTAAGTGCCCGAATATGGTTATAAGTACAAATAGAATTGGTTAATAAGTGCCATGAGCCTCCAAGTAGGGTTCCAAAAGCCTTGCCCGAGTCTTTGCACGTCGGGATAGGTTCGGGGTGCAGGTCGACAAGGTTAACCCACCCCAATGTTCAACACGCTAGGTCTGCTAGGTATGAATCGCACTTCCGGCCAACTCGTTGGTCTTTTTTTTTTTTGGGGGGGGGGAGGGTTGGGCGGGGGCTGGGCGGATCAGATTTGGGGGGGGGAGAAGTTGGGAATTATCTTCGCGCGCCGCAGCTTGCCTCACGGCGGTCGGTCCACTCGCCTCCAACAACAGTTCGGCAGTTGACTCCTACCTTATGGAGGAAATGAACCCTAAAAGGGTTTATGGTTCACATAGTATAATAAGGATTATAGTAGTATAGGGTATATGATTCCCCAATTTTGGGGTACGTTTGGTCCTTAAGTAAGTACATTCTCTCTTACTGGCCGAGTTTGCAAGGCGAGAATCTAACCTTTGGCTTTGAAGGGCCGATATGTTCGTGCAGACAAAAAGGTTACAGTAATCCTTTGCCGTGCGTAAGCCATACATGTGGGGCATTTCCGAAAAGAGGGGCCCCAATGTACACCCAACTGCCCTAAACTCCTCTGGATGTAGGGACAAACCGGATTCTAAAGCCGTCAACCCTGGTATGGTCGCTTCCCCCCCCCCCCCCCCCCCCGCCCCCCCAAACCCTAAACCCTAAACCCTACACCCAAAAAACCCCTAAACCCTGAACCCTAAACCCCGCACCTTCGCCACTGCGATCGAAGGCGATGCCGATGCTCTGGTGCACACCCAGAAGGCTACGATTCCCAGGAGCAAAGGGCCTCAGATTTTCAACACCTAGGGTTTAGGGTTTGGGGTTTGGAGGGTGTAAGGGGGGCTATAGGGTGGAAGATCCCCCACGAAAGGAGGCTTCGTCCCACCATGCACGGGCCTGCCCATCAGAGATCCCTATCTGTAAGCCCTAAACCCTAAACCCTAAACCCTAAACCCTAAACCCTAAACCCTAAACCCTAAACCCTAAACCCTAAACCCTAAACCCTAAACCGTTTAAACCCTGACCCGAACCTTTGAGTCGGCGTAGCCCTTAAACCCCTGCCGGGGTGACTCAGGATGTTCAGATGACGGGGGGGGGGGGGTGCGCGAGGTTTAGGGTTTCGGGTTTAGGGTTTAGGGTTTATAGGGTTTAGGGTTTATAGGGTTTAGGGTTTAGGGTTTCGTGTTTCGGGTTTAGGGTTACCTAGAGTACCTTTAAAGCACGGGTAAACTTACCAACAATTGAGGTACATATCCCCGACTGGCTATAGGTAAGGGTTAAACTATATACGAGCTTAAGTTGGAGGTTCCGGTTCCGAGGCAGTTCTAGGTGAGGGTACAACAACTCAAGGAACCATCCAGTAACATACTACAACCATAGCCAGCCGGTTCCTATCTCAGGGAGGGGGAGGAACGCCAAATAGCCGTCGCCCGAAACCATGAGCAAAGTAGCCGCCAACCCTATCGCAGCCCTATCGCAACCCTTTTTCAAAATCGGGTCTTGTTTAGACACGGGAGGGAGGGGCATGGGGGTGTGGCTCAGCTGTGGGGCTCGCGGTTGCCGCCAAAGTAGTACAGCCTGTCTCCTCCCGGAGAAATCAAAATTCTCAGGAGTCCCAAAACAACCCTAAACCCTAAACCCTAAACCCTAAACCCTCAACCCTCAACCCTAAACCCTAAACCCATTACCCGCTCTCCCACACCGGTCGTAAGCGAACGAAACCAAAAAGCGGGAAGAAGGCTACTAGTCAGAAGGCTACTACTTGGCCTCCAAGGAGTCTTCAGTGACGATTGGGCAGCCATAAAAAATGAGGGTGTACCTCTTTCGGGAGGTCCTTGCAAAGAGGTGATGCTAATTTTAGGTTTAGGGTTTAGGGTTTAGGGCTTAGGGCTTAGGGCTTAGGGTTTAGGTTTAGGGTTTAGTTTAGGTACCACTTTTCGGGGAAAAGCCCTCTTTAGTGTCTGGAGCCGAGACTGCCCTGAAAACCCTACAGCATCAACCCCCGTTGCCAAAACCCTGTTAGAGAAAGCTTCTGAGTACTTCCGTCCACCAAAAGCATAGCCCCCACACGGCAACGCCTAGCCAAACCCTAAACCTCAAGCCCAAAACCCTAAACCCGAAGCCCTCTTCGGGAAGGTGCCTAGGATGCTGCCCATGCCAACGAGGGCCGAGTCGAATGCAGAGGGCTCCTTCGCGATTCGTGGCAGTGGACTGTGCCTTCATCCTATAGAGCCTCCCAGGTTGCCCTAAACCCTAAACCCTAAACCCTAAACCCTAAACCCTAAACCCTAAACCCTAAACCCTAAACCCTAAACCCTAAACCCTAAGCCCTAAGCCCTAAACCCTAAACCCTAACCCTAAACCCTAAACCCTAACCCTAAACCCTAAACCCTAAACCCTAAACCCTAAACCCTAAACCCTAAACCCTAAACCCTAAACCCTAAACCCTAAACCCTAAACCCTAAACCCTAGGGTCTACAAGACGGAGAAGTAGCAAGCCTTGCCTGCACGAAAGCCCACAGGCCCCTGACAGCAATCGCCCCTTCACCTTGCGTATGTAGACCCAAACCCCAACAACCGAAAACAAAAACCTAAACCCCAAACCCCTAAACCCCAAACCCCTAAACCCCTAAACCCCTAAACCCCAAACCCCAAACCCTAAACCCTAAACCCCCTAAACCCCAAGCCCCTAAAACCCCAACCCCTAAACCCCCAACCCCTAAACCCCAAACCCCTAAACCCCAAACCCCTAAACCCCAAACCCCTAAACCGCAAACCCCTAAACCCCAACCCCTAAACCCCGACCCCTAAACCCCAAACCCACAAAAGAACTGTACCAAAGGGAGACCCTAAGCCGCTTGTGCCTTCGATGGCTCGAAAATCGCCTGCGTTGCTGCATGGCCGGTGCACCTGTGCAGGGAGGCTGAACCCTAAACCCTATAAACGATAGGATTGAGGGTTTAGAAGTTTAGGGTTAAGGGTTTAAGGTTAAGGGTTTAGGGTTAAGGGTTTAGGGTGTGGGCCTAGGGTTTAGCGGTGCCATGCGTTTTGTGCCCCTGAGAGAACTTGTGCCGCTGTCAGCTTGTGTCGCTGCGAAAGGCAGGGCGATCCAGCAACAACTGCCATCTAAACGGGATCAGCGCCTGCTAAAACTCGTCTGTTGGCTCAATACTGAGACTTTCGCGAGTGCTACTGCCGGCCACGCCGGCGCTCCAGGCTACTTGTAGCTTCCGGCCTAAGACATGCTGGAAAGTTCATTTTTTTTGCCACATTGTGATTCTAAGAAGGACGACGTCACAAGGCTTCAAAAAACAAGCTTTGAAGCAAAACAGCGCGCCCAGAGACCCGGAACAGACCCCACAAAAGGCACCCCCAAATTTCCAAAACTTTCGGTTCAAAATCCGGACACGAACCCTACGCAATTTCAATATGTTCTAAACCCAAAAGCATAGATCTCGTTTTTCTTTCCTTAGGGGGATGAAGCTTTGCATCTTAAATTGGCTACACTAATTCAACTACAAGCCAGTGGTAATATACTATCTCTTCTAGACTGCAGAGGGTCTATTGTTTTGCAGACGTCGCCAACCGACCACAGCGTGTTCCGGGACACAAACCACAACAAACATGACGCGTGCCCTCCAACTTGGATCATGTTACGTTCAAAACGTACTCCCCCCCCTAAAACCTCGACCCGTGAAATTCAGCAAGCCGAGTCACCCACTTTTCCCAATGGAGGCCGTCGTCGCTTTCGGCAATGCCGATGGAACCCATCGAGAGGGCAACGACCTAACTTTGAGAGACCACGTTTGGGCCTTATGTGAATCTAAAGTAGCCGTAATGGTACAGTACCTCAAAAAAGGATAACTAGACTGTCCCATACGCTTAAAGGCACCTTACCCTTTTCTTCCCAAGTATTAAAGTTCTCCAGGTCATGTTCAAAGGCTCTATAACCTCCAGGCTACCGAAGCAACTTTGCAGCCGCATGGAACACCTTGCAACCGTGCCTGGGTCAGCGCATATCTGCTTGAAATACAGCGACAGCCTCTAAACTCAAAATCCAGGGTTTAGGGTTTAGGGTTTAGGGTTTAGGGTTTAGGGTTTAGGGTTTAGGGTTTAGGGTTTAGGGTTCAGGGTATCCGAAATTAAGCCTGAGCCCCGTTGTCTAGGCGTCCAGCTGCAGGATCCACCTCCTGGCTTCGCCCGTGGTAGAACATCCTTCAGAGTCGACGAGAAGTCGGGCACGTTAGATCCCTACAGTTTTAACAGCCTGTTCCCTAAACCCTAAACCCTAAACCCTAAACCCTAAACCCTAAACCCTAAACCCTAAACCCTAAACCCTAAACCCTAAACCCTAAACCCTAAACCCTAAACCCTAAACCCCCCCTAAAACCTGAACCCTAACCGGGCAACAGTCTACCTGAACCTTCCAGTTGCAATCGACTACCCCCTGCACTCATCGACTGAGCAGCGCAGGCTCAAAGATAATCACCCCTCTTTGTCCCTAAACCCTAAAACCCTAAAACCCTAAACCCTAAACCCTAAACCCTGAACCCTAAACCCTAAACCCTAAACCCGAAACCCTACCCCTAAACCCTAAACCTCTGAACCCCTAACCCTAGCCCTTCCCTCTGGGGGGTCCGAGTCCTCCACTTCTGGCACCCTCCAGAAGGAGCTTCCACTACGACTCCCCCTACGGCCGCAGAGTCAAAGAGCTCCGGGTCGTTGGAAGGTCGGAGAACTGGGCCTTGGGTTCTAGGTGAGGGACTCAGGGTTTAGGGGGCTTAGGGTTTATAACGGGGGTTTAGGGTTTAGGGCTTAGGGGTTTAGGGGTCTGAGGTTTGGGATTTCGGGTTTAGGGGCTTAGGGGGGCTTGAGAGATGTAGGGTTTTAGGGGGCTTGGGGGGTTTAGGGTGTTTGGAGTTTAGGGGGTCCAGGGGTGTTAGGAAGTTGAAGATTGAGGGGGGCTTATACCCTAAGGGTTCATGTGCCCATGTAGGACTTGGGCCTGAACAAGGTTGGGGCACCTGAAAGTTCACGCGTAATAAGTACAGTTCTACGTACCCTGCGTCTGGTTATACCTACGGTGATACCCTACTCCGGCCCTACCCAACATCAACAAGAATGAGGAGCAACCCACCACTGCCAGGCGATGAATGAGACGAAACGCTTGTTGCCGCAGCTCTTCGCACGGTCAGGGGCCGCGGGCGTGAGCGCCACGCCGTGGAGATGAATCCTACCATCTGGAGGTGAAATCGTGTGGTTTCGTGGCTTGAACATCTTCTGCTTGGACCTGGAAATCAATTACCATGAACTAACTCCACTCCCCCGAACCCTGAATCCGCAGCTATGATGCAGCTGTGATATTGTAATGATATGAGCGAGCGTCAAAACTCTAGAGGTCGGGCCTGGGTCGCTTTTCAGTGTTCCCCGTCGCTTTACAAGGGCTTTAAGGGGCGTCGCTTTTCAATCTTCCCCGTCGCTTTACAGGGATTTTTGACACTTCACAAGACAAAACTGCAATTGCCATAGTCTTGACCCTTGCTCATATAAGTAACCGGAACCCTCAAGGGATACAGGAACAGAACTGCTCGCGGCAATTTCTACTTGCAGAGACCCCTCTACCCCTGAATTGGCCAGTAGTTTATGAGACCCTAAACCCGAAACCCTAAACCCTGGAAAGCCCTACCCTAAACCCTAAACACTAAACCCTAAACCCCAAACCTTCGGCTTGAGCATGAGTGTTTTCTGTGGAACTGGCCCAGGGTTGGCGGGTCCGGAGTTTGAGATTTAGGGACTTCTATTTTTTTGGTTTCGTGTTTAGGCTTAACTGGACTAGGGTTTTGGGGTAAGGGTTGTTTAAGACTTAGGGCGGGTGATTTGGTTTTGTGTTGTTGGGCTTGAAGTAGGTTTCAGGGTGTGAGGTTAGAGCTTAGGGTATTACGTTGCGTTGCGAGCTTTGGGCCGGCCAGGGTTTGTTTAGGGATTAGGGTTTAGGGTTTGGGGCTTGGGGTTTAGGGTTTAGGGTCTAGGGCCTAGGGTCTATAGGGTTTGGGTTTTAGGGTTTAGGGTTTAGGGTTTGGGCTTTGGGGTTTAGGGTTTAGGGTTTCGGGGCTTCCCTCTCCTGCCCGGAGCGCTATCGCCGCGAGCGCGGCGGCCCCAGCGGCGCAGGTGACTTTGCGGCGCGTCATGGCGCAGATGAGGGTGAAGGTCTCAATGCAGAAGCCCTTGAAACCCTAAACCCTGAGCCCTAAACCCTGAACCCTAAACATGGCATCCAGGGATTTAGGGGTTTCGGCGTTTGGGCTTCTAGGGCTTTCCGATAACAACGATCATCCGGCTGAGTGTTGCAAGCGGCATTGGGAAGTGGGGTTTGGGGCCTAAAGTTTAGGGTTTTGGGTGTTGAGTCCATATGAGCTCATTGCTCCTTTACTTGTCCGTGCCGAAGAAGCGGTGATCATGCAGCGGTTCCCTACATGGGTACCCCATATGTAGGGCTCTGTATTTTATAGTAATTGAGAGAAACTCCTGTGTTCAGAACGACAATATCTTAGAGGCTAGCTAAGTCGACTTAACCAAGCAGACGCTGCACTTAAAAAAGGCTAAGCTGAGCCAAGTTGTGTCGGGTAGCCCCATGACCTATGACCTATGACTGTCGCCCACCTTTGTTAGAACCCAAATTGCTTGCCGGAGATCCATAATCAATGTATTCACTTGCGGCTTGAAAGAACCAAAAACAAAGCACGAATGCAAGGACTATGGCCACCACCCCCCCCCCCCCCCCCCAAAAAAAAAAAAAAAAGAAAAGAAATAAAAATAAAAAATAATAATAAAACAATATGTATATATATATATAAACAATTAAATTCCAAAAAATAAAAAATCAGCGCCTGCCAGGTGTAGTGCGATCTCCACACTCAGCTCGGGCGAATAGAGACCTGCACAGGTGCAATGCCGCTTGTGAGGCAGGGGGGCTTCGGGTTTAGGGTTTAGGGCTTAGGGTTTCAGGGCGTCTCGGATTGGCGGATCTAGCACCCCAATCTTGATACGTACTACTTGGCCCACGCAGTAACTCCGTAACAATAAGGGTACACTTCTTCTTACTGTTCAGCTTTGATGAGGAGCCCCCAAAAGGGAATAAGGGTATATACTGCTGAGGGACCGAGTTTTAAAAAATCTTGGTAGCCCAGTAGCCATATTACGATAAGGGCGTCTTTTTGGGGTTGTATAAGGGAATCTTGCACCGAAAAGAACAGGGGGAAAAGGTACCACCGGGCCACCAAGACAATAGAAGGAAGGGTTGTTGAAGGTTCATGGTTATAGGTGCCCTAAACAAGGTTTTAAACAGCAATAACTGTAGCTACGTACCTTATGTAGAAAACCCACTTATAACTAATTCCCCATGAACCTCCACGGTTGGGGTACCAGTACACACAGACGGTGCCACCAGCTCCAGAAGCCCTAAACCGTAACCGTAAACCCTAAACACTTATACACCCTGAGCCACTGATAAACCCTAAGCCCTACACCCAAAACCCAACACCCTAAATCCTAAACAATAAACCCTAAACCCAAACCTGATGCAACTTGCACCTGCTTCCGCCAACCGCCGCCCGCACTGCGCCAAAGAGCAGGGATCCATCTGTGACCTGAATCTAGGTTTAGGGTTTAGGGTTTAGGGTTTGGGGTTTGGGTTTTCAGGGGTTTAGGGTTTAGGGTTTGGGGTTTGGGGTTTGGGGTTTGGTGTTTACGGTTAGGGCTTAGGGGTTTAGGGGTTTAAGGGCTCTAAGGGGTTTAAGGGGCTTTGGGGTGTCAAGCACTGAGGGTTTAAGGGCTTTAAGGTTTTTAAGGATTTAAGGGCTTAAGGGTTTTAAGGGTTGTAAGGGTTTGAGGATTAAGGGCTGTTGAGGGCTTGAAGGGCGTTAAGGGTTTCAAGGGCTTTAAGGGTTGCAAGGGTTTTACGGATTCAGGGCTTTGAGGGTTTTAAGGGCTTAAAGGGTTTAAGGCGACCGGGAGTAGGGGGAGTCGGGATGCCCCTAAACTCAACTGGTCTCGTCCTCTGTCATGGTCCCAGATATGCAGACACATACACCAGACAACGAATCTTAGGGTAGCTACGTGGTCCCTTATATACTCCTTATATACCTCATACAACCCAAGGGCCCATACTTCAGAAGGATGTAAAGGGACCATACTCAGGGCCCATATAAGTCCCATTAGAACTAAAGCAAAGCAGGAAAGAACAAAAACATGGTTTAGGGTTTAGGGTTTAGGGTTCAGGGTTCAGGGTTTAGGGTTTTGGGCTTAGGGTTGATTTCCGAAGCCGTATCGAATGCAGGGCACTGTGGTGTGTAGAAACAGCCGGTTCTGAATGCGCCTTTAGGTCCTTTAGATTTAGGGTGAGGGGAGGGCTTGGGGTTTTGGGGGGGTTGAGGGGGTTGGGGGGTTTGGGGGGTTGGCGGGGCTTTGGGGGCTTGGCGGGGCTTTGGGGGTTTGGGGGTTTGGGGGGGTTTGGGGGGTTTGGGGGTTTGGGGGGTTGGGGGGTTTTGGGGGGGGGGGGGGGGTGGTGGGGGGTGTTGGGGGGGGCTTTGGGGGCTTTTGCTTTCGGGGCCGTTTGGGGGGGTTTGGGGGGGGTCCGCCGACCCTGGCGGCGTGTTGGATGGGCTTCTCTTTCCCTCATAAATTTGGGGGGGGGTTTGGGGGGGTTTGTGAGGGTTTGGGGGGTTTGGGGGCTTTGGGGGGTTTGGTTGTTCAGGGTCAGTTTTCACGGGACACCCGTACCCGCCCCAAGAAAAGCAACGCTCAACTATACCACTGAAGGGGCACAGTTAAACCCTAAACCCTAAACCCTAAACCCTAAACCCTAAACCCTAAACCCTAAACCCTATATACCCTATATACCCTATATACCCTAAACCCTAAACCCTAAACCCTAAACCCTAAACACTTTTGGGGGCACTGGTATGCTCGAGTCTCGGGCGCTGCCACTTTCAGCCGCATGAGGAGAAACCCACGCCTCGGCCGGTGCACCATGTCAAGACTCCCCTTAACAGCATTTTGGAAAATATTCCCTTGGGTTTTACATCAATAAAACGTCCTAAGGGGGATACATGTGGGATTTATGCCTGAACTGAGCCTTAAGGGGCCTCAGATGCTGCGTTTTTTTGTCATTTCGCTGACTGAGGCTCTCAGTCGAGGGACGCAGAGAGAGGGACAAAGAGAGAGGGAGAGCGGAGGAGAAGGGGAGCCCTTTCGAGTTTCGACAAGAATGAAGAAGAGGAGACATTTAAAACTGGAATTAAAAATCGGATCACGCTCGGAGATCCGAAGGAGGGGGGGGGGGGGGGGCAGGGAGTTCAACAAGGGACAATCAGAGGAGAAAGGGTCAAATCGGAACTGGGAGTCTTGGGCCTAAACCCTAGACCCTTAACCCTAAACCCTAAACCCTAAACCCTCGAAGCCCATAAAAGTCAAGTGCATGGTGCCTTCACTGAGCCCTTAAGCGCATTGCTTTTATCACCAAAGACAAGCAATTCTCGCCCTCGCAAGTTCTACTGGGCTTTGAAAACAGACCAACTTCAAAGTGGGTCTGGCAGTCCGGGCGAAAAGGAATGGGACTTACATCGGTTTAGAAAGCGCAAGAAGCTTCAAGACGCAAAACAAATGTGGGAATTCGGTGGAGAAGTGGAGGGCGTAGGGTTTGGGGTTTAGACTGAGCTCATGTTCTAGCGTTCACTAGTCAAGCAGAAAATACCCACCTGCCCAAAGAGCCCCAAAAAATTAAGAAAATACAAAGTTTAATCTATCCATTCCCAGTAGGCCCTGAACTCCAAAGCCCGCAGTAGACCCTAAACCCAAAACCCCTGAGTCGCCCCAAACCCTAAACCCTAAACCCTAAACCCTAAACCCTAAACCAAGCCCCGAGCCCTAAGCCCTAAGCCCTAAGCCCTAAGCCCTAAGCCCTAAGCCCTAAGCCCTAAGCCCTAAGCCCTAAGCCCTAAGCCCTAAGCCCTCAGCCCTGAGCCCTGAGCCCTGAGCTGAGCCCTGAGCCCTGCATGAGCCCTAAGCCCCTACGCCCTCCGTGCCTATGCCCAACAAGGAGGCGTGCCTACTTGGAGGTTCATGGGCACTTATAACTCCACGAATAACTGTACTTATAAACCCCTAAGTCCTCTGAGTAGGTTATATGTGGACTTATAAGTGGGGTGATCAGTACCCATGAACCTCCAAGTATGCCCAGGAAGGAGGCGGCCGTATTGGGCATACAGGCACGCCTCCTTATTGGGCATATAGGCACCCCTCTTTGACTTGATTGGAGGCGTGCCTACGCCCAAAAAGGAGTTTAAGGTTCTGTATACAGGTAAGAGTGGCTTAGGGTTTGGGGCTCAGGGGTTAGATTTTCTCGACATGGCTTGAACTCGTTGGACCTCCGCCCTCCCTCTTCCCAGGCTACAACAGGCCTGCGCAGGCTTTTCCAACCAGACTTGTTGGCAAAAGGCCTTGTTGTTTCAAACTTGCCTCTCTCCTCCCTGCCCTCTCCCTAAACCCTAAACCCTAAACGCTGAACCCTGAACCCTGAACCCTAAACCCTAAACCCTAAATCCTACACCCTAAACACTAAACCCCAAACCCTAAACCCTAAACCGCAAGGCCCAGACACTGCCGGATCTCGGAAGGCCAGGGGCCCAAGTAGCGACAGCGACTCGATCAATTGGAGCACCTTCACAGATTTTGGGGGCCCGTGGTTTCTGGGTTGGGCTTTAGGGTGTAGGGATGAAGTCGGTTTAGGGTTTAGGGTTTAGGGTTTAGGGTTTAGGGTTTAGGGTTTAGGGTTTAGGGTTTAGGGTTTCGGGGCAGAAGTGGCCATTATAGGAGCCCAGAACCCTGAAAGAAAGTATTAAAGTATAGTACTCCAAAACCCAGACCTTCGCAGATTTTTTGGCCACTAGTTTCTGGGATTTGGGGTTTCGGGATGAATTGGGTTGAGGGTACTTAGGGTTTCGGAATAAGGTATAAATAAAGTAGGTTTAGGGTTAGGGGGTTTAGGGTTTAGGGTTAGAGTATTCAGGGTTCAGGTTCCGGGAAAGTTTCGAGGACGTTCCCAGTGTTTCGAGCAAAGTTTCGACTGCGCAGTGCCAAAACCTGAAGCCCCAGTAGGGCCTAAACAAAAAAAACCTGAATCCTGAACCCC